TTAGACATTCGTCTACATCTGGGAAATATAATGAGACATATTTTGACCAAGATGATAAATTGCAAACTGGACAACAAGGAATTACCTTTATCGCAGTCATGACCCTTCCATCCTGCTGTACAAGTRCAAGTATAGCTTCCAGSGGTATTGGTACATGTYCCTTGGTTCTTGCAWGGTTTTCTTAAGCATTCGTCTACATCTTTGAGTATACATAGTAATATTAAAAAAAAAAGATCATTGCATTTTAAACAGGAAACATAAGTACATACCTGCGTCACAGTCATGASCCTTCCATCCTGCTGTRCAAGTRCAWGTATAGCTTCCAACGGTATTRGTACAGCTTCCTTGGTTCTTRCAAGGTTTTCTTAAGCATTCATCCGCATCTTAATATAAAACATATAAAAAGTGTTTTTGTGAGCAAAATKTCTTCATTGCTGTAAGAAATGAATACTAGTACCTTCATCACAGTCTTGGCCTTCMMATCCTACTTTACAAGTACATTTGTAGCTTCCAGCATTGTTGATACACGTTCCTTGGTTTTTRCATGGATTGTTGGTACACTCGTTTACATCTTTATAAATGCAATAATATACAAAAAWTTATTTAGATAAARGCACGTGTTCMTATTGGCACGGGCACATACTTGAAAAGACGCGCGCGTTTTCAGTACGTTACCGTCGTCGCAAAGCTTCCCTTTCCATCCTGATGCACAAGTACATGYAAAGCTGCCGACGTTATTGACGCATGTTGCTTTGTTCTTGCAAGGATTTATTAAACATTCGTTGTCATCTAAGAGAAATTAGTATCAATGATTAGAATAAGATTAAGGTCCCATCAGGGTCAGATTACGATTGGATAAAAAAGGGGGGAAAATGCAGATAAAGCATGTTTAATTTAATAGATGGTTCTTTTCTTTATTGCAATGGATCGTATAGTATTAGGGATCTAACACCTCGATAATTAATGATGATGATGGTTATGATGATGATGAATTAAAGACATTGTGCTTTTCCCTACCTTTGTCACAGTCTTGTCCTATCCAGCCTGCTGTACAAGTACATGTGTAGCTTCCAACAGTATTGGTACAAGTCCCTTTGTTCTTGCAGGGATTATTTATACATTCGTCAACATCTGAAATGTTCCAGTACATTTATTAATTTGATTAGAAACACATTAGCTAATTGCAACCAAAAAACAGGCAATGAATGTGTGAACTTTAACGTAAGTCACTCWGCCAATAAATGAAGGGATGGATGGATGAAGATAACGTAGGGACAAGATGAAAGGAGAGATGGAAAGACAAGATGCATATGAAAGAAGCAAACAAACTAGCTAGCAAGCAAGTATGCAGAAGAAGGCAAGAAAGGAGTCAAGCAGAGAGCCAATTAAGCAAGCAAGAAAGCAAGCACAGAAGGACAGATAGGCATGAAGTTTATTTGATAACCTTTTACAATCTATTTTGGTACCTTTGTCACAGTAGATTCCCTTCCATCCTGCTGTGCATGTGCAGGTATAGGCACCAGGAGTATTGACACAGGTAGCTTTATTCTTACAAAGGTGACTTTCCATACATTCATTGATATCTTTGATAAATAAAATTGTTTCTGTCATGTTTTGTAGAAATGGAAAAAATGGTGCAGGGGATTTTAATAACATTATTGTTCTACACTGACTTAAGCCTCTTTTAGTATTATTATATGTATACATCACCAATCAATTTTTAATTTTTTTTTTTAAATTTTTAATTTTTTTTTAATTTTTAATTTTTTTTAATTTTTAATTTTTTTTTTATTTTTAATTTTTAATTTCCGTTTCCTGTTATAGCTACCTTCTTTAAGAAACATCAACCAGAATCTCCCTCAAAATTATTATTAATTGCATTAGCACCTATAATTACATACCAGGGCATGAGTATTTGGAATCACCATCTCTGAATTTCTCATCATCAGGCTTTCCTCTGTATCCTTTAACACACTTGCAATAATGCTCATTGAAGTTGTAATGACTATGACAATATGCATGCGAAGGGCAATTGGTTTTCATCCCATCACAGCTTTTCCCTGAAGCAGACAATTGGAGTCTCCTTACACCCATTTTTGGGATGGGTTCCCTGTCCTCCACCCAGGAACAGGGATCCCATCAAACAAAAATGACTTATAAGAGGAAACTTATTCAATTGTTAAAATTACAAAAGTAATTTGTGTGCATAATTCTTGTATGTATTTTGTATTTGTATTTGAAATAATGATATTAAAAAAAATTGAAAAAGAGGAAACTGCGATAAAGGTGATTGAGACTGATATYAATAAATGCAAAACATAATATGATATAATTATCATTAGATTATATATATATGAAGTGTAAAAATGATGATTATAATGATGATATCATGGTTCACAATGACAATAATTTTGCCAAAATGGATTATAGTCGTGATGATGATTGTTATGATAATGATAATGATATGACACTGATGATACCTTAGCTTACCTTTTATACGGACATCTTGCCAGTGGAAACTAGGAGCAGACATCTGCTTTTTGTCAGAATCTACAAAGCAGATGATTAAATAACTAAAGAATATACAAATAATTGTCAAAGAGTGTATTAGTAATTGGATGTTAATTGATCATCAATTATTATCAATCAAATTATCATACAGGTCATACTCTATTTTGGGGGCTAACACCCATTTTATTATCTGAATAACATAATTCAATTGTTTGTTTCTGCTAATGTTTTCTTTAYTGTTCTACCTATTTCAAAATTTCAACAAATTCCAACCCTTCCATAATTCTTACCAGTAATTTCCCCTTACTTACTCCTGTATCCAAAAAACTCAAATGCTCCACATGGACTGAAACGTGCACCTAGAACATTCACTTTAACTTGGTTGATGATTTCATCAAATTCTATGTTCTTGTACTGATAGACGAACGTCACAAAATAAAAAAACTGCAAAGCAAAACACAAGGGTTGATAAGGTAGATTAAATACTAAAAATTGTTGATGAGGCAATAAGTAGATAGCAAAAAAAATTACAATTTTTACGCCTATTTTTTCGGCTATATCAGTGATCTGTCAAATATAAATCAACCCTTCCCTGTGATCTGACCATTATAATGTATCTACAACACCTTAATAAGTTTGCCTGTTGAAGTGCGGAACTCAAATCTGGTAAAGTGTCTTCKTCCTAGCATGTTACCATGGTAACCCATGCCACAAAGCTTCACCCAGCCACCAAATTCAAAGTTTATCCATTCGTTTTTCCATGGGAAATTACTGCACCAGACATACTTTGGACCTTGTTTATGAAATACACGAGCATTACGAGCATGGTAACTCGGACTCCTATAATTGCTTGATGCAGTAATTGCACTGTCAGGTATCAGGTTGTTAATTGTATCAATGGCAACACCAATTGGAGGAGAAGTGAATGTTGAGCTGCAAACTTATGAAAKASAGAAAATGTGATGAAAAATAAAGCTATCAATGGATGAATRGCAAGAGAAAAACAGATGGGAATGGAAAAATTTACAATCTATAAACTCATTTTTATTATTAGTAGTAATTATAATGAAAGGAGGGAGGAAGAAAGAAGGCGAAAAAGGAAGGAACGAAGTGTTTAACTTACTTGGTGGGKCTGTCTTGACCGCTAAAGAATTTCCAGAACCAACCAGTTGGGTGATAGTTGATTCCGCCCAAACATTCCTGTTATATTTATCTCGTGATATTGGTATCARGACATTCATTCCCACCTTTAGCTTATCTCTTATTGGTTCGGCATTTATTACAGCGTTAGTTCTGGTAGCCTTTACYAGRTTTCCGGACCGGCCTTCGCAYTCTACGTTGTTAGAATCCTCTGAACGCTTGTAAGAGGCCTGTGTCCATCGATAAAACGTCTGAGATTTGTAAGTTATTTTTTCATTTATCAGACAATTCCAACTTTCTCCTAAAAAATGATAAAAAGTTTAATAAATAAGCTGAGTAAATAAAAGTTCATTTCAATCAGCCTTACCTTTTGCTTTTAGCAAAAAGGACAACACAGAGACTACAAAAACAGTCCGGCAGCCAATTCTTTTAGGCATAACTTGAACATAGCTATTTTTCTATGAAGTTCGAAGTGTTTTGATGTGTTTTGAGGCAATATTGTACATTTCAGATCTATAAAATCTGGAATAAAATAGACGAGGAAAATTTCAATATGGCTGACTGCCATGCAATCAAATTTAGGCGGGAAAAWGCGCGCGCGCGCMTAAGTAACCACAGGTATCCCAACACATTCCGGAAAAAGCGCCAAAATCTAGACRCCATTTTGAATGTGCTCATGTTTATTCATTGCAMATTTTAGATGTAAAAAGCGAGGAAAATGCTTGAAAACTTTATACAGACGTGTGTTTACATACATTGAATGGGACAGAATAATCATTTTTAGTCATGTTCTACAAACTTTGGAAATTGTTGTTCTTTTTGGTCTTATTCATCCATTTCAAAGTCAAATCAGGTGAGAGAAAAATTCAACTTTGATAGCGTTTTTTTTCCACAATACTAAGTGTTTTTTAGTTTCATTCAGGTTCGCTTTAATACTAAATATTTAGTTACATATAAAAAATATAAAAGAGATTGCCAAGTTGAAGTCAAAAAGTAGAGGCATGCCAACACCCACCTGCACATGAGGAAAAGTTATGCAAAAACGTACTTAAGATTGCCAGATATTTTAGTTCTTATCAACACTCAAAACTTTGTTCAAATAAATACGAACATTAATGAAGATTATTTTCTTCCGTTGTATTTCAGGAAAAAAAATTAAATGTCTTATAAACGAAAARGTTGATTGGTCAAGAGTTACGTCTTTCCGAAGATGGTCACTAGCTACCTATGTTAGTTCTRATTCCGATAACATTACATGTTTGGATCGCTATGGACGAAATTTAGAAGCAGATATYAAAACGAACGTTGTTGTAGACATTGAGCCGGTAAAAGAGAGGCTAGAATCGGGGATGCTGCTTCTTGCGCCAGTCAGCCGTGGCCGGTACAATCGTTACGTTTGGGCAGACGTAAGAATTACGCACGTTCGGCCTGACGAGGATTACAAAGTCTATACCACAAAACCAAGTAAGTTTACTGCCAATATATTGTCGATTTTTTTCTTTTAAAGGCATCATGGGTTATCAGGGAAAACTTGCAAAGAAATGTATTTTCTTATATATTTTCGATTTCGATGTATTGCGTCATTTATAATGATACACGTACCGTCATAAAAAAACCGGATCCGCCCATGTATATGGTGCCTATTGCATCTCTCTGAAATCCTTTTCTTTTTCAGTTTGCACGAGCAATGATCCTCCCATTGGAGTGTCAAACAACGCTGTGTACGAATTGCTATCAGATGATCTGTTCATTGCGTCAAGTTCGTTCCATCGACAGAATTTCCAGCCACGAAATGCTCGAGTTCTTAGAGGAAGTTTAGTAGCMTGGTGCGCGTCCAGTAAGCACGTGTCACAAGAATGGCTCAGRATTCACTTTGGTGGCTTCGTCAAGTTATGTGGCCTTGGCTATCATGGGCTTCTTTATACTAAGGAGTATTTCACTCGCTTTGTCCTGCAGGATGACAGTCATAATTCAATCGGGGTACGTCATTTTCAAGATAAAAASGTCTTATTATATCAGACGTGAGTTAGAAAAATATCAAAGGTTTCTATAATATTAGTAATTATACGTCTTTCGTAGGAGTTCTACCCAAAGACGTTCGAATACTCGTATTTTAAAATATCCTGGGACAAGATTTTACTCGACGTCTACATCATTCCTTTAGAAATAAGCTTCTGGCCATGTGGAGCCTTTGAGTTCTTTGGTTATCTTARTAATAATAGAGCTGGCTTGGAAAAACCATCTTTCAAGTGGCAAGAAGTACGAATAAAAGGTAAACGAAATTTGATGCTTTTCCAGGAAACAGTTAAAGGGCCACGGATAACCGGCATTCCTTGCGAGCTTGTGTTGATATTTTTAAGGTGAAAGTACATTATAATGTTGAATTCGATCTTAAAACCGACGGATGGAAAAGGAATTTAGATGACTATTTGAAGTTACCCCTTTTTCCATATATGGAAAACACGATCGCATTGAATGGCGGTCTAGCATTGGCCTTTTAGGCACTGTTACTTTGTGCTTAGGTTGCTCTGTGACAATATTTTTGTGACGAAAGGCCTTATGGGGCCTCTCGTCTCTATGTCATCGTGTTAAGTGACCGAACCGTAACCATCCACTTGTAGCAGGCGTTCCTTGCTAGTCCTTGATATATTTAAGTTGAAAAGAGAAAATCTGTAGAGGAAAAAAGCAACAGCAAAGAAAACAGAAGAAGGGGAAAGAAAAGAAAAGAAAAAAATAGAAAGAAGAAAAGAAAACAGGAAAGAAAAGAAAAACAAACAAGATAAAAAAGAGAAATTCCAGTAGCAGGATTCGAACTCAGGAATTTCACTTTAGGAAAAGTTGTACCCCCCCGGAATACATAAGAAATAATGAAAATAAAAAAAATAAAAAGWTGGGACGATTCCCCCGAGACATTCTATGAAGCTGAGGCGGCGAATCGGCTTACGTTACGGTTAGAGATTTCGGCCCTTCCACGCTATCCCGAGTGAACATAAAACTTAGTCTTAACCAAAAGGCCAGGGAGTGAGGGGGTAGCCGCCCACTAGAACATACCTTTAGCTACCCTCTTAGACCATCGTACTATGAAGACACTTGTAGATATCTAATACCTAATTGGGGTAGTCTATTCGGTGAAGTTCTATGCTAATATATGACGTCACCAAAATCCTTAGGGAGTAGCGAGCCAATCAGAGCTCAGCTCTTTGTGGTAGTCTATTCGGTGAACTTCTATGCTAATATATGACGTCACCAAAAAATCCTTAGGGAGCAGCAAGCCAATCAGAGCTCAGCTCAGGAAATAGCAAAGGATACAGGGTTTGCATAATCATTCTTCAGTGGATTTATTATTTGACGGGTGGTGGGGATGGGTGCCGAGTGCTAGTTTGCGGGCGAATACCGATGTAGGCGATGTAATGTGGCGGCTTTTACCGAGCTGTTTTAAAAATTGTCGTTATTGTTTTCCAATTTATCACAGGAAAATGTTTACCTGCAGTTCTTATATCAGACAGACATTACTAGTATTGAAAGTAAACAGCACCACAAATATCTCGTGAAATTCTTAACGTTAGTGKTTTATAGACCAGGATCAAACYAGGTAGATACTAGCTSTTGCCAAAGATTTGCCGGGATTCGCAATRCCAATRGCACACTATTGAAGACCTTTGAWAATCCRAYAWTRCACTCGAACGTTCAACATTTTCGTTCTTGATGATATAAAAGTTACCAAATGGATTAATATTGATTWTCAAATAATTATTAAATCGAAATATAGTGRATGTTAACAATTGAAAGGATGAATGACAATCCGTATAAAATTGATAAAGAAATGAAGAAATACTTAGCAAGCTTTGGATTTTATTTCAAAGCTATAATTAGGCGAATAATAGTAATTATAACATGGATGTGAAAATACAGTTTAAAATAATATAAACATTCTATCAAACAAAACGAGAATTTGATCATGAGTTTATAAGTCAAAAGATACAGCAAAGCTAAATCAAAGCTCTAAGGATTCCATATCGTGGATAACAATTCCTTTTCCGAATCTTTCAGACGGATATGTTTACCTTTAGGCAGGCAAACAGTGCGCCCCGCGTCAGACCCCCACGGGAGGAATCATCTACCATAACAATAGGTTCCTTGGCCCCTGGGAATCGCCGCTTGGTGTGTATTTATAGACAACGTAATGCTTGGGTGAGCACGCTATGCCATCCTTCAGAAGGATACATCTTCGGAAGTCTTTCCGACGAACCGACTCCGAACCCGACGACTTGGATCCGATCGTTTCCGAACATTTGTTGGTTCGGATGGTTTTGCCACATTTTCTCGTTACTTTTCACTTGCTATCCAATATTTATCGTTTCCTGACATTAACCATTAATAAAAATGAAGTTCTTGCTTAACAACTGAACACTTTTATCATGTAAATCGAGCGACGAAAGCTTATTGCGAAAGATGTCCTTTTCAAGGATGGCCGGTCACATATCCCTCTACCTGAGACGCCTTACCATACGTCAGAAATAGCCGAAAACGGAAACCAAACAAGTACCGAGATGCGGTGGGATTGGACCTAAGGCGGAAAATATATGACATTGGCGGGATATTCCAATGTTGTTTCTTGATGCTTTTAGTTCTTTGCAGAGTATACAGCTAATTAAAGATAGTGTATTCCGAGAGCGAAATGCATTGTGGGTCTATCACCGTTCACCATTCAAAAGRAGCTTTTTTAAATTTTTAGATTTGCCATTTTGTAACGAAGCAAACTAAATTAAATCTGTTAATGGTGTGAACTAGCTGAAAACTAGTGTGAGMTGCGTCGGTTTATGAAAAAAGATTAATTTAACCATATTTAGTAACTAACTATGATTTAACACCTTAAAAAAGTATTTGAAATAACTTACTGACGTTTCGGACGTTAATCATTCGTCGGAGTAAAAAGACAAAGTAAGTTATTTCACATAATTTTTTTACGGTGTTAAATTTATCTTTTTACACAACTAAATCTGTTAATGGAATGAGTCACATGCACTCATCGACTGCCTATTTTTCTATACTTACAGGACGGCATTGTGCTGCTGTGGTAAACGCATGTCCTAACAATTCCCATTGTTTCTCTCATATTGGTTTTAATGAGCACTTGTGTGCCTGTGATGTCGGCTATACKTCCAGTCCAAGCATATCACAGTTTAAAGGCGGAGATACGGCGTACAAATGTATAGGTAATTATCGGCTTTTGACTTGAATGAATAGTCCATTCTCTCAATTATTTCACAAATTCCTTGTGTAAAAAGATAAAAAATAGGTGAAACAACTTACTGAAGTTTCGGACGTTAATCCTTCGTCGGAGTAAAGAGATGGAACTAGGTATAGTGTGAGTTTATATAGTAAGAGTAGCAAAGAGAATAGACCAATAGGAGCTAGATACATGTAGGCATGGTAACGAGAAATAAACAATTAATGTTAGAGGTCTGTTTAAGAAAAGAACAAGAGAGGTTCTAAAAAAAGAGAACAAAATATATTCAAAAATCTGAAAACAAAGCGTTCATTCAACCAATTGGGATTCACAAATCCAGAATTCTGATTGTGGCTAACCCTAACCATAACGTTTTCGTGAAAAGAGAAAAACGTA